TCGACGCCAAAGCCCTCGGCGGCGAGGCCCTCGGCGGTCATGGTCGCAGCGAGCTCCTTGGCCTTGTCGGCGTCGCGCCGGACGCAGCAGGCAGTGAAGCCGTCGCGGGCAAATGCCTTGGCGATCTCGGCGCCCGTGCTGTCGCCAGCGCCGACGATGAGCACGCACTTGCGCGCGTCCGTGTGGAGGCGGCGGGCCACGTGCTGCAGTCGGTTGCGCCACATTCGATTGCGATCTTGGACTGGCGGTCCTGTTGACACAACGGTCGCCGCGATGCCATTGGCCAAAAAAGAGCCAATCCAATACGTTGCCATCACAGTCCAACAACTTGAGCAGCAACAAGCCGCGTGGTTCCGCGCCTGTTCAAGGCCGAGAGCGCTCCATGGTGGCAGGAATATGCACACATCTTCTATTGCACCAAAGACGTTCTGTCCATCGCAGTTGGTGCTCTTGTAAATGCTGCTCCGCCATGTCGCTGTGGCTGGATGACGACAAGCGTCATCCCATCATGTTGACGATTCCACCGTGTACCCAGCACCATCCACGCCTCAGATTCGTAGCATCCCAGGCTGTGCTTTCTACGCATGGTGCAGTGTGAGGGCCACTTGGTTTTTCACCAATATCATACACAACGTTATTCCTTTCAAGGCGCTGATTCCATCGCCGCCAGCGGGTATCGAAGCGGCGACCTTGAAGCTGCGCTCGCGAGTGCTACTGCGACCGTCGACAAGGCTGCGCCCTGCTATTTCTTACCAATCTGATGTACATTATCGTCGATAATTGCCCAAAACCCGACATCATTGCGGTACCGACGACGTCGAAAGTGAAAATCAGCGTTTTGCGCCATATGATTGGCTGCTTATTGACCAATGAAATGCGGCAACTGCGAAATCCAGTGCAGCGTTGGGATCGCATGTTCATTGGCTCATTGCGAGACGGCCCTTTTGAGTGGTAAGTGGCAGGTGGCAGACCGTCGAGGCCCATGGCAGCTGCTAGGACGACGAGTGCGAGCATGGCGGACGAAGAGAAGAAGGTGATTGTGGCCGACGACGTCGACGAGAACGACGAGGAAGAGGACGACGCCATGGACGGCGGCGCCGACGCGGGCGCGGCCAAGAAGAAGAAGAAGAAGAACAAGAAGAAGAAGAAGAAGACCGCGGGCTCGGCCGGCGCAGGCACCAAGCTGCCGCCCTTCCGCGGCGTCGATGGCTACACCGACAGCTACATCAAATACGGCCAGACCGAGCCGCCGACGATTCCTGTCGCCAAGCTCTTTGGCGCGGGCTCGTTCCCCAAGGGCGAGGAGCAGAACCACCCGGGCGACTTCAACACGTACCGCACGACATCCGAAGAGAAGCGCGCGCTGGAACGCGTACGTCCATCCTCCATCCCATGCGTCGTTTTAGAGCGTGCTCATCATGGCTGTACAGGAAGGCGAGGCGTTGTACGACCGCATGCGCTACGCGTCCGAGGTGCACCGTCAAGTGCGCAAGTTTGCCCAGAGCATCATCAAGCCCGGCATTCGCCTCATCGACATGTGCGAAGCGCTTGAAAACAAGAACCGCGAGCTCGTCGAAGAAGCCGGCTTTGCTGTACGTCTCCATCTCGCCACACACTGTGCCTCACCGTGCATTAGCGTGGCATTGGCTTCCCGACGGGCTGCTCGCTCAACCACGTCGCGGCCCACTACACGCCCAACGCCGGCGACGACACGGTCCTCAAGTACGGCGACGTCATGAAGATCGACTTCGGCACGCAAGTCGACGGCCGCATCATCGACTCGGCCTTCACGGTCGCCTTCGACCCGCAGTTTGACCCGCTCCTTGCGGCTGCCAAGGCCGCGACGGAAGAAGGTATCAAGTGCTCGGGCATTGACGCGCGCCTTGGCGAGATCGGCGGTGCCATCGAAGAGGTCATGGAGTCGTACGAGGTGACGATCGAGGGCAAGACGTACCCGGTCAAGTGCATTCGCAACCTCAACGGCCACTCGATCGGCCCGTACCAGATCCACGCGGGCAAATCGGTGCCCATCGTCAAGACGGCCGAAGACACCAAGATGGAGGAAGGCGAGATCTTTGCGATTGAAACCTTTGGCTCGACGGGCCGCGGCTACGTCGTGGAGGACATGGAGTGCTCGCACTACGCCAAGGCGTTTGATGCGCCGCATGTGCCGCTCCGTCTGCCCCGGGCCAAGAAGCTTCTCTCGCACATTACGCGCACGTTCGGGACGCTGCCGTTCTGCCGGCGCTGGATGGAGCGCGAAGACGGCGGGTCGACGCACATCAACCCCAAGGGCGCCAAGCAGGAAAAGTACATGGTCGCGCTCAAGAACCTTGTCGACAATGGCATCATCACGGTACATTTCCACCGTTTATTCCACAAAAACGGAAATCATGATGCGTCTTAGGCGTACCCGCCGCTCTGCGACGTTGTCGGCAGCTACACGGCGCAGTACGAGCACACCATCATCCTCAAGTACGTCCTGCCAAACATGTCCTCGTGCTCACGCGACGTGTGTCTAGGCCGACGTGCAAAGAAATCGTGTCGCGCGGTGACGACTACTAGCGACGTGTTCAGAACCCGTCATTGACTCCTGATAAACCCATCAAACACGCTGTAGACCTGCCAGGACCCTCTAGCGTGGTGGGATTAATTGGCTCGTGCGAGCTACATACATTGGGCGCCATCTTTGGTTGCAGAAATGGCCTGGAATTCTTCAACAGTTTGCATCAGTGACCGTATCGAGGACTTGTCTGAGTAGGCTCACACTTGGCGCTATCGAAAGCGCTTGATTCAATGCACACGTCGTCCTTTTGAGCTCCACCATATCGCTGTCGCTGTTACAGTGTCCAGCACAAGCCTGTGCTATCATCGAGGACTCCAAATCGAGACTACGTCATCGGTGGCCCCACCTTCGTGCAAGGAGGCTGGGTGAGACTGCATTGTGCTTACAGCCCTGCTGGTTGCGCGTCAAGAAGAGGGCTGGGAGTGGCCACACACACACGGTCGTTGCACCATTGGAGCTCGATCGTGGCGCCGAAAAGGATCAACTGTCGTGCTTCAAAACAAGACAATATTTACCACACAAAATAGGACTATCGCAATTGGTGCTGTAGCGCGGTCACTTGTCGCTCGAGACGCTGTTTGCTGCGAATTGCCTCGCTGTACTTGAACTTGAGGTCTTCAATCTCTTCAAAAAAGTCCAAGTCGAACGCCGAGAGCTCGTCCGAGAGCTTGGCGTTTTCTTCCAAGAGCTGCGCGTTGTGCTGCTCGAGCGACCGCACGATCTCGTCGTTGCCTACTTGGACACTATTGTTATGTTGTCTCGACAGCGACGGCCCCGTACTGGGTTGGCGCGATACGGCCTCGAGACGGCGCTCCTTCTCGTCCAGTGCGTGGCGCAATGCACTCTCGTCGTCCTTGAGTGTCTTCCACTTGCCGTGGAGCACTCGATATTTGCGCTGCAGCTCGGAGCTTTCCGCATTGAGCCGCGCTATCTCGTGGCTTTTCTGGTCGAGCTGCGCCTGCAGCGTCGACACAAGCGCGTCAGGTGTCTTGGTCGTCGATGGCTTCGCTGGCTTGAGCCGGCGCAGGCGGTCGTTCTCGGTCCGGAGCTTCTCCATTGCCCGCTTCATGTTTTCAATCACATCTTCAAGGGCGGTGACATCGGCTCGGCTCTTATTCGTCGTTGTCGGTGTCTACGCCCGGTCAAGCGTTCAAGCGGCCAGAACATAAGCCTATGATAACCTACGCGGGCAGGGGACGGCGTCATGGGCGGCGTCCGATTCGGCGCCCGCCGCAGCCGCGCGAGCTCCAAGCTCAAACTCTCGACTTGGAACGAGAGTTCGAGCAGCTGCGTGTCCTTCTCCAAGAGTGCTTTTGCCGCGTCACTCGCGTCCTCGGGCAAATGGAGCGCCTGGCGCGACGTGAGAGCTTGCGCTTGAAGTTCGCGAATCCGCTCGTGGCAGCTCTCGAGCTCGCGTTCTTGGTCGAGCGATATCTTGGGTACGGTGTGGGGCAGTGGCGCGGCGCGCAATTGCATTAACTACGCGGCGCTCAACACAAAATGGCCGGTATCGCTGTCGTACCTGCTCGGCCTGGGTCGTGAGCTGGCTCTGCGCGCGAGTCCACTGCTCCTTCAAGCGATGGCATTGCGTCGTGAGGGTATCGACCTCGGCCTTCTTCTCTTCGAGGCGCGTTGTGAGCACTTCGACCCGGCGCTTCATGCGCTTCTCGTTCTCCCACTGCTTGCGCGTTGTCTCGTCGCCGCCAGATTCCTGGTTGTTGTTGGTATTGGTGGTTGCTGCCTTCGGGGCGACCGGCGTAGCTTCTCGCAGTGCAGCGTTTTGGGCTTCAAGGACCTTGATCTTCTTTTGCAGTTCGAGAAGCTGGTCGTCTTGCGCTGCGTACGTCCCGAGCTTGGCTTTGCAGCGCTGCAGCTCGTCCCGAAGGGCCGCCACCGCTTGTTTCATGTCGTCGGATGGCCGGGCCAGCTGCTTTTGGGCGATCGCTTGGGCACGCTTGGCCTTGGACGTCATCGCCGCGAGCTCCGATGTTGTCGCTTGAAGCTTCTCTTGGAGCATCTGCGTCTTGGCCGATAGCTTCGTGTTGGCGTCTTGCAGCGCCGTGACGCGGTCGTCGTCACGCTCCTGCCGCTTGGAGGTTGCGCGAACAATCTCTTCGGCCTGCGCCTCCTGCGCTTTGAGAAACTCCTCCTTGAGCTTGATGATCGCGTCGCGAAGCAGCCCCATCTTGCGCTCCTTGCCGCCAATCTCGTGCCGGAGATGGGCGAGCTGCGTCGTCTTCTCGCGCTCCATCTCTTCAAAGTCGCTCGAGAGCGCCGCGTGGAGGGCCTTGAGCGCCGCAATCTCTTCGAGCGCTTCGCCGGCGCGGGCTTCGGCCACTTGGCGCTGGTTGTGCAGCGTCTCGACCTTGTGGTGGAGCTCCGAAATGATGTTTTTCTTGAGTTCGAGCTCCATGTGCACTTGCTTGAGTTGCTCGAGGAGCCCTTCGTGCATCTCGCGCGCCGCCACAACCGCACGGCCACCACCCTAGTACACGATCACTATCATGGACAAATCTTGTCCAGAACTACCGTCTCCTCGAGGTGCCGGATCTTCTCGGTGGCTTCTTTGAGCTGCGTAATGTGCAAATGATTTTCTTCGTACAACCGGCGGTTTTGGCGCTC